AAACTGAACAAAATCTTTCTGTAAAATCTCTCTAAGTTTTATAATTAATTGCTTCAATATTTCTTCTCATTACCATTATCAGTTTACATGTTTTCATTTATCTTATTTTGAAATCAGACAAAAATTTTAAACAAATATTTTGTGTCTTTGAGGGGAATCATGCAGAATAATTTGCTCTGCTTATGCTTGTATGATACAGCTAGACAGATGTTGAAAGTGGGCTGTGTACAGTGGAGTCAATTCTAAAATTTTGTGGTAATACTGTATTGTACAACCTAACCTGACCTGACTGTACAACTTAATATGCACCATGAATTGTTATGAAGCACTGCAAATAAATGTCAATGATAAAAATTCACTCTGTGTGTTGTATATACAAGTTGAGGATATCTGTATATATGACTTGTTGTTCCACCTTTTTCCTATTGCTTTCTACACTTGTCCCACCTTAATACCTGTCCCATTCTTTGAGGTTTTTATCCACCCCAATGTTAAAGCAGAAGAGGTGTAAAAATAATAAATAAAGATGAATTAATACATGTGTGAGGGAAGACGTCAGTTTGTCATTACATAATTATCTTTTACTTCAAAGCTTCTCTCTACTGTCATAGACGTTCACTCGGACGTAAACCTTTACCTGAGTGTGGACGCTACAACCGACACCAACGCCGGAGGTTGAAGAACAGTTCTTTCTAATTTGTAGATGCATTAAAACTAGGATTTTAGCTTTAGTTATATTCATGAGTAATAAAAAATGGAGAATTGAATTAAGTTTTGTGATAAAGGAGACTCAATTTTTAGGATGTTGACTTAGACTGAGTGACAGCACATTAGGAGTGAGTGACAGCATGTTAGGAGTGAGTGGCAGCATGTTAGGAGTGAGTGGCATGCATGTTAGGAGTGAGTGGCAGCATGTTAGGAGTGAGTGGCAGCATGTTAGGAGTGAGTGGCAGCATGTTAGGAGTGAGTGGCAGCATGTTAGGAGTGAGTGGCAGCATGTTAGGAGTGAGTGACAGCATGTTAGGAGTGAGTGGCAGCATGTTAGGAGTGAGTGGCAGCATGTTAGGAGTGAGTGGCAGCATGTTAGGAGTGAGTGGCAGCATGTTAGGAGTGAGTGGCAGCATGCTAGGAGAGAGTGGCAGCATGTTAGGAGTGAGTGGCAGCATGCTAGGAGAGAGTGGCAGCATGTTAGGAGTGAGTGGCAGCATGTTAGGAGTGAGTGGCAGCATGTTAGGAGTGAGTGGCAGCATGTTAGGAGTGAGTGGCAGCATGTTAGGAGTGAGTGGCAGCATGTTAGCAAAGATCACACTCATTTTATATTGCTGTTTGGTTATTTTAAAATTTTCTAGTTTCAAAGATGTTAGGCCATAGGGTCTAAGGTTCCATTATATATATTATTTTCTCCATTATTGAATCAACATCCAAACACGAGTCTTCAAAACAGAAAATACCTTAGAAGTGTATGGAGAGAAGGGTCAGTGTGTTACATGTGATGCTTAACTTTATGACCTCCTGCAGTGTCTGGGCTTGAAAATGTACAGTATCCTGGAGTCTGTCATCAGAAGGTAACCCAACTGAATAACTTGAAGAGGAAGAAGAAATAAAGAAGAAAGATAATGATGGAAAAGGGAGAAAAAAGAAAGATGTGGAAACAAAGGAATGATAGAAATTTGGCCTTTAAAAATTTGGGACACCAGGAAGTAAAACTTTTTTCAAGCTTTGACATAAATGTTAATTGATGATATAAAAAAGTATAGATTGACTCTTGAGAAAGTTGTTTGTGGGTGTGACCTGCATTGGTGGTGAGGTGGACTACTGTGGAACTGAAGAAGGAATGTCAAATTAATTTAAACCGAGAGGAAAATGAGGGATCCCAGGCTCCACTCACAGTCAGCAACCAATACATGTGCTCACTCTGACTCAGCCTCATTCAACAGGCTCCTGCTAAGACATCAGCAACCTTTTCAGTATAATTGGTGGATTCGCCGGCTGCTTTCTGTTGATGCCGAAGTATTAGATTTAAAGAGAAGACATGACATTAAAGAGTAGACATGACATTAAAGAGTAGACATGACACTGTAAAGAAGGAGAGGAAATTGTCCAGCCAGAAAGGGTTTATTGTTTACATTGACAAGTGTTGAAGTGGATGGAGCGAAGGGTCCCTGAAGTATACAGAACGGAATAATTATAAACAGCTGTTACTGTATGAGGACCAGACAATATTATAAGGTATAGGATAATATAAAGATGCTATATGTAGATATTGTATAAACATTATATTATAAGAAGAACCTGAATTACTAATGTGCAGTAGGGACAAAAGGCATGCAGATCATTTCTGAGTATATCTGTAGTTCTGAGTTTGTCCATATCTCTGAGTGAGTCAGTAGCTGTGTCTGTGTGTGTTTTTATGTTAAGACTGGAATGTACTGTACTATTAACCAGAAACTATCACCCCACTAATGAAAATATATATGGTACTGTACATGGAAAAAGTAACATTAATACTCACATCTAATAAGTACAAAAAATATTTTAATCATACAGTTTTAAAAGTAAGAAACAAAACAATACAAAATTTGGTGTCAATTTTTATAACATACTGAGAGGCTATACTGTGTGTCCAGACAAACATAGTCTAACTTACTATAAAATCTGGCAATAGTTAATACTATAAACCTTTATGTCCACAAACACCAACTATAACAACTTGTATGGGTAAACACATTACCCAACATCCACAGCTCTCAATGCACAGCTGGCATGTGTGAATAACTTGCCCTGTGCCCAAAGTTATCAACACAACTTATGTGGGTAAATACCTTGCCCGTGCTCACAGCTATGAACACACAACTTGTTTGGGTAAACACATTGCCCCGCGCCCACAGCTATAATCGTAGTCTCTCCATCAACCACTGAATCAGTGAGTACAAGATGAGAGCAACCAGAATGGATGCCCATGAGTGGGTGGACAGTGACATGCCATTGTCTTGTGAGCTGCCCATATGTGCTGCTCGGTGTCTTGGGCTACCCATGGCAGATATCCGTCGAGTCAGGCTGTCCATGTCCTGCCGCACCCCCTTAATTTCCATCATAAGAGACTCTTGAGTGTTTGCCACTTTATTCAGGGACTCGAGGACACTGTAAAACACAACTCTGATGGTAATTCTGGCTCACATTTTCCACAAATGATCTATTAAGTATTACATATTACACTATCTATAATAATTCACTGTTACATCATAATATACTGTATATATTGTAATACATTTTGGACTGCTTCAGCATATAAATCATGAACTTATGCAACAAATGGACTCAGTTTGTTCAATGATCACTTGATAACAACAAACTACAGCAAGTGAAGCAGAGCCCACAGCGAAATCATCCTTCCATGCAGGTACAGTACAGTACAGTACAGTAGAGTACAGTACAGTACTGTATGTGAATAAGTTAACTGCATAATCTCTAAAACTGTTGCAATATTGATCTATCAGTCTCTTTAACTCTATTTTCATTTGTCTCTGAAGGATAAAAGTGGGAGACATCCTGACATCATAACACCCTGACATCCTGATATCCTAACACCCTGACATCCAAACACCCTGACATCCAAACACCCTGACATCCAAACACCCTGACATCCAAACACCCTGACATCCAAACACCCTGACATCCTAATGCCCTGACATCATATTTTAAATGAAGGAAATCCAAGAGTCCAGTAGGTTATGAGGATTAATGTTGTGTGATGTATAAAGGCCAGACTGTGTACAGGTGGACTTAAGAGGCTGTGTTGTGGCAAAGAAACAAAGAGTAAAGGTCATTTAGTACAACAGTTGGAGTTAGATAATTAATGCAGAATAGAAGAATCTGCGTTGCCCTTCATAATAAACTACAAGTACAGTTGGAGAGGCAGTAAATCCCTCCTCCTCCATTTTAGTTAAACGATAAACCCATCACAAGCTGGTGGCTTAAAGAGGAGAGGGGGTGATGAATACTCCCCCACTAGATGCCATTAACACACACCCTCAGCCCAGTGGTTGTGTTCCTCAGGTGACAGTGTTCTGGCTCCCCCACCCCCCCACTATCAATGAGAGCCCTACTGAGGTATCGGTAGTGTGAGGAGGTCTACTGGAGGTCTACTGAAGGTCCTTATGGAGGTTTACTGGAGGTCTACTAGAGGTTTATTGCAGGTTGACTGGAGGTATATTGGAGGTCTACTGGAGGTTTACTGGAGGTCTACTGGAGGACTACTGGAGGACTACTGGAGGTCTACTGGAGGTCTATTGGAGGTCTACTGGAGATTTACTGGAGGTCCTTATGGAGGTTTACTGGAGGTCTACTAGAGGTTTATTGCAGGTTGACTGGAGGTATATTGGAGGTCTACTGGAGGTTTACTGGAGGTCTACTGAAGGTCCTTATGGAGGTTTACTGGAGGTCTACTGGAGGTTTACTGGAGGTTTACTGGAGGTCTAATAGAGGTCTACTGGAGGTCTAATAGAGGTTTACTGGAGGTCTACTGGAGGTTTACTGGAGGTCTACTGCCAGGTTTACTGGAGGTATACTGGAGGTCACTGAAAGTACTGATACTGGAGGTCTACTGGAGGTTTACTGGAGGTCTACTGAGGTCTACTGAGGTTTATTGGAGGTTTACTGCAGGTTTGCTGGAGGTCTACTGGAGGTTTACTGGAGGTCTACTGCAGGTTTACTGGAGGTATATTGGAGGTCACTGAAAGTTTACTGGAGGTATACTGGGGCTACGGAGGGACTGGAGGTCTACTGGAGGTTACTGGAGGTCTAATGAGGTTCATGGAGGTCTGCTAGAGTCTACTGGAGGTCTACTGAGGTTTACTGAGGTCTACTGGAGGTCTACTGGAGGCTGAGGTCTACTGGAGGTTTACTGGAGGGTCTACTGGAGGTCTACTAGAGGTTTACTGGAGTGTCTACTGAGGTATACAGGAGGTTCACTGGAGGTCTACTAGAGGTTTACTGGAGGTCTACTGGAGGTCTACTAGAGGTCTACTGAGTTTAGGCTCATTAGAGGGTTGGGAGGTCACTGGAGGTTTTGTTACTGGAGGTCTACTGGAGGTTTACTGAGTGTCTACTGGAGGTTTACTAGAGGTTTACTGGAGGTCTACTGGAGGTTACTAGAGGTCTAATGGAGGCTCTAGAGGTTTACTGGAGGTCTACTGGAGGGGTTACTTGGAGGTCTACTAGAGGTTACTGGAGGTCTACTGAGGGAGGTAGTTATGGAGGTCTACTGAGGTCTACTGAGGTCTACTAGAGGTTTACTGGAGGTCTACTGGAGGTTTACTAGAGGTCTACTGGAGGTCTACTGGAGGGTTATTGGAGGTCTACTAGAGGTTTACTGAGGTCTACTGGAGGTCTACTAGAGGTTTACTGGAGGTCTAGAGGGAGGTCTACTGGAGGTCTACTGGAGGTTTGCTAGAGGTCTACTAGAGGTTTACTGGAGGTCTACTAGAGGTCTACTGGAGGTCTAGAGGCTGGAGGTCTACTAGAGGTTTACTAGGAGGTCTACTGGAGGTCTACTAGAGGAAGGCTGGAGGTCTACTGGAGGGAGGTCTACTAGAGGTTTACTGGAGGGAGGTCTACTAGAGGTTTAATAGAGGTCTACTGAGTCTACTGGAGGCTGGAGGTACTACTGAGGTCTACTAGAGGGAGGTACTGAGGTCTACTGTAGAGGTTTACAGAGGAGTCTCTAGAGGTCTGTAGAGGTCTGGAGGTAGAGGGGGTCTACTGGAGGTTACTGGAGGTACTGAGGTCACTGGAGGTCTGGAGAGGTCTACTGGAGGTCTACTGGAGGGTTATTGGAGGTTTTCTGGAGGTCTAATAGGTGTACTGGAGGTCTACTTGAGGTTTATTGGAGGTCTACTGGAGGTCTACTAGAGGTTTATTGGAAGTCTACTAGAGGTCTACTGGAGGTCTACTGGAGGTCTACTGTGACAGGTAATCACTTTAAGAGTATTAAAATTGTTGCCTAATGTACAAGTGGCTGTTGTTGTGTGAGGAACATTAGAGTGACACACTGGCTCTACTGTTGGACTGTGTAATGGCTGAAATAAAGTTACAAACAATTATGTTTTTCTTTATCTAAATTATCCAAACTGCTCCAATTTCCTTAGTGTATATAATTGAAGAACCAATACCCTTCATCCTTAATAAAAATAATTAAGATATTAAAAATAACTAAATCTGTCAGTTTCATTATAAACCTATTTCAAAAGATCAAGACTCAAAGCTTCAGAAAAAATTATTGGCCAGTTTTTATAAAACTTCAACATTCAAATTTTTTTTCTACTTCTCTCATACATCAACAAAAAACATGTGAAGCAGTATACTGTACAGTCATTTCTGCTACAACGCGAGTTTTGTCAACGCGAATTGGTTGTAACGCGATTGATGAATAGGGGAACGCTGTTTGTAAAACGCAAACTTTTGTATCCGAATGTTGGCTATAACATGACTCCATCTTCAACATTTTAAGTGTAATGTGGCGCGGGGTTATGCAATGTTTACAGTTCACGTTCGACATCACATGTTCAATTGAGTCGTGTGTTTTGTTTGTGAAGTGTTTTTTGAGAGGTACTCTGTAAATTTTGTTCTTTTTCTGCATATTTAGCTGTTACCCATTAATACTGTATGAAAAGAATAAGTAAAAAGAATGTTTTGCAGTGCGGACTAATAACAGTTTACACCAGAGCTCTCCATTTACATCACATGATTAGCTGAATAGCATGATGTCTATCGATTGCTCTGTGAAGTGTCCGTGATTTTCGCTGTTTTCTCTAATTTTGTTGTGTTAGCCATAAATATAGAAATACAAGGTATGAAGAATGTTTCCAAGAAGCGTTCTGGAGATTGAATTGAACGTGAAAGAAATACGATAACACTTAAGAGAAGCTTGATGTGTTAGGTTAACTAATATATTTGTTTCAATTTTGAATAAGCTGCACCTAACCTTATTTTCTCCATAAGCCTTGTTATTTTTATTGTGTGAATTTCTATAGCGCGAGGTTTCACAAGAACGCAACTATCGAGTTGTAGCAGAAATGACTGTACAGTACAGTATATACTTCAGGTGCTGCCGACCTTCTCGTAAAATTTAAAATTATCTGAGCAGTTTTGAGGTGCGTGCAACTTTTCACTACTACTACTTCTTTATAGTGGCCTCCAGCCTCCCCCAATAGCCACACCTTTGCTGCCATTTTATTACCTTAAAATTAACTATCCTAATATATAAGTAGATACCCTAGCTGTGTTGAGTTAGTTGAGCTGCAGATCTATGCAGCATTCAGTGACTGTTGCCTCAAAGTCGATATCTGCGCCTCTTGTGGCTTTGGGGGCTGATGCTCTCATTCACTTGAGGCAGAGCAAAGCAGACCAAAGGAGAGAGAAGGACAGTCGACATCTCATCCAGGCTGTAACATAACTTCTGGGCTGCTGCTTCTGTTCGGATAGCACCTCCGCGAGTCTGGCGTAGAAGCATCTTGCACTTGGTCCCATCCCACCAGAGGTTGTGAACACCAGAGGAGTGAAGCTGCGATTAGATAAAAAATCCTAATGTCGAAAAAGGCTCGCTGTCCCCGCGTCCAGAATCCTTGAGCACTGACATCAACACGGGCTTTGTTGGATGTGTTTGAAGTCCTCTGTTGGAAATTCTCACCGCCCAATGGAAGGAGGGTCGGTTCTACCCTGACATCACGACATATTTCCTTCAACATACAGTATTTGCTGTGAGGTCCCTTACTTCGTCATGCCTCATGCATATGAAGCCCCCTTTCTTGCACACCATGGCGTGATTGACGTCATAGGAAGAGCCACACACGCATTGGGAGGGCAAACCTTCTACTGGCCTACCATACCTTAGAGCAATGGCATCTGAAAATGCTTGTTTATTATGACTGAAACCTTTTGCCCGTATTGGTAACGTAGTTAACCAGTTCGAGGCACTTACCTCCTGCGCTATAGCTACTTTTTTTTAAATTCTCTGGTATTTGCAGCATCAGTTGCTGCAACTTATCACTTTGGCTGTGCTGTTGTTCTGTCATAATGGACCGTCGAATCTTGTTTACTTCGCTGGTATCCACCACGCCTGTTGTGTTCTTAAATGAGTTTTGATGTTCGGTGGCAGCAATCTCCTCTGGATTGGACAATCCCATACCTCCCAGTCTCGGTGGTAGTGCAAGGAGTGATCTTTCTGCTGGGGTTAATTGAAGATGTTTCACTAATTTGGGAATGAAATTGACTTTGATAGCTTCTTCCAGAGGGTGGAGGAGGGGTCCGACATCAGATACAGTGAGCATCAGGTAGTTCCAGCGATGCTCGACTCCATGGGTGAATGCCAAGAAAGCCAGATGTGGCTCTGTGTTAGCAATCTCAGACAGGGCTTGATTACTTAACCCACTCATTCACTTCTACCGCTACGCACTCGGTCTTGAAGTCCGTCGAGCCGATACGCGCCTAGATGACTTTGGCCGCCCTTTTTATTTTGACCTCACTTCCACTGGGGAAGGGAGGGGGAAGGAGGGAGGGAGGGGAAGGGAGGGAGGGGAGGGGAGGGAGAGGGGAGGGAGAGGGAAGGGAGGAGGGGAGGGAGAGGGAAGGGAGGAGGGGAGGAGAGGGACGGGGAGGGAGGGGAGGGGGAGGGAAGGGAGGAGGGAGAAAAGGGGAGGGAGGGGAGAGGGGAAGGGAAGGAAAGGAGGGGGGGGGGAAAGGAAAGGAGGGGAGGGGAAGGGAAGGAAAGGAGGAGGGGAAGGGAGGGGAGGGGGGGAGGGAGAGAGGGAAGGGAGGAGGGAGGGAAGGGGGGGAGGGGAGGGGAAGGAGGGAGGGAGGGGAGGGAGGAGGGAGGGGGAAGGGAGGAGGGGGAGGGGGAAGGGAGGGGAGGGGGAAGGGAGGAGGGAGGGAGAGGGAGGGGGGGGGAGGGAGAGGGAGGAGGGGAGGGAGAGGAGGGGGAAGGGGAGGAGGGAGGGAGGGGAGGGAGGGAGGAGGGGGGGGGGGAGGGAGGGGAGGGAGGAGGAGGGGAGGGGAGGGAGGGGAGGAGGGGAGGAGGGAGGGGAGGGAGGGGAGGGGAGGGGAGGAGGAGGGGAGGAGGGAGGGGAGGGGAGGGAGAGGGAGGAGGAGGGAGGAGGAGGGAGGGGGAGGAGGGAGGGGAGGGGAGGAGGAGGGAGGGAGGGAGGGAGGGGGAGGGGAGGGGAGGAGGGGAAGGGAAGGAAAGGAGGGAGGAAAAGGGAGGGGAGGGAGGGGAGGGGGGAATGAAGGGAGGGGAGGGGAGGGGAGGGGAGGGAGGGGAGGGGAGGGGAGGGAGGGGAGGGGAGGGGAGGGAGGGGAGGAGGGGAGGAGGGGAGGGAGGGAGGGAGGGGAGGGAGGGAGGGAGGGGAGGGAGAGGGGAGGGAGGGAGGGAGGGGGGAGGAGGGGAGGGGAGGGAGGGGGAGGGAGGGGAGGAGGGGGGGAGGAGGAGGAGGGGGGGAGGAGGGAGGAGGGAGGGGGGAGGGGAGGAGGGGAGGGGAGGAGGGAGGGGAGGAGGGAGGGAGAGGGGAGGGAGGAGTGGAGAGGGGAGGGAGGGGAGGGAGGAGGGGAGAGGGAGGAGGGAGGGGAGGAGGGAGGAGGGGAGGGGAGAGGAGGAGGAGGGGAGGGAGGGAGGAGTGGAGGGGGAGGAGGAGGAGTGGAGGGGAGGAGGGAGGAGGGAGGGGAGGGAGGGAGGAGGAGGGAGGGAAGGGGGTTAAAAGTCACTTACCTGGGAGAGAGAGAATGTGGTTGCCTCTTGGTAGGTAAGGCTGCTACAGTAGTTGCATGGTCTGGCATATCTTGGAGGTCATCATGGTCTCCTGAACTTGTCTCCTCAGCCTCTGCTCTCTCCATCACTCCTCTCAGACGCTGGACTCCCTCCACACCGCTCACCCGTACAACCTAAGACACATCCATTATGGTACAGAGTCTCTCATGGGGGTTACTCTTCACTACAGCTCTGTGCAATACAGTGCACAGCAAACTAAAGTACTCTAGCCCCTTGATACTGTGGATGAAATCTGTAAACACTCAAGTGCCGAGACAGTGAACCCATGAGGCCACCCAGGTAGTGATGACTTGTACTGTAGTTTTTACTCAAATAACATTAGAAATAAAACAAGAAAAAAGGGTCTTTTCTTCCTTTTCAAATCGTGTGAAGTTTTGTCTCATTGCTGAAGCTCTACATGCTATGATCAGCTTCAAGTGATTCATTATGTATTCCTTACAATATAATATAACTTACATTATATGTAACTTACAATACATGTAACTTACAATATATGTAACTTACAATACATGTAACTTACAATATACAGTATGTAACTTACAATATAATGGAACTTACAATATATGTAACTTACAATATATGTAACTTACAATATATGTAACTTACAATACATGTAACTTACAATATATGTAACTTACAATATATGTAACTTACAATATATGTAACTTACAATACATGTAACTTACAATATATGTAACTTACAATATAATGGAACTTACAATATATGTAACTTACAATACATGTAACTTACAATATATGAAACTTACAATATAATGGAACTTACAATATAATGGAACTTACAATATAATGGAACTTACAATATATGTAACTTACAATATATGTAACTTACAATATATGTAACTTACAATATAATGGAACTTACAATATATGTAACTTACAATATATGTAACTTACAATACATGTAACTTACAATATAATGTAACTTATTACATAATGTAACTTACAATACATGTAACTTACAATATAATGTAACTTACAATACATGTAACTTAGAATATATGTAACTTACAATATATATACAGTATATAACTTACAATACATGTAACTTACAATATATGTAACTTACAATATATGTAACTTACAATACATGTAACTTACAATATAATGTAACTTATTATATAATGTAACTTACAATACATGTAACTTATAATACATGTAACATACAATACATGTAACTTACAATATATGTAACTTACAATACATGTAACCTACAATACATGCAACTTACACTTATATGTAACTTACAATATATGTAACTTACAATATATGTAACTTACAATACATGTAACCTACAATACATGCAACTTACACTATATGTAACTTACAATATATGTAACTTACAATATATGTAACTTACAATATATGTAACTTACAATATATGTAACTTAAAATACAAGAAAATCCAATATATGTAACTTACAATACATGTAACTTACAATATAATGTAACTTACAATATATGTAACTTACATTAAATGTAACTTACAATATATGTAACTTACAATATATGTAACTTACAATACATGTAACTTACAATATAATGTAACTTACAATATATGTAACTCACATTAAATGTAACTTACAATATATGTAACTTACAATATATGTAACTTACAATACATGTAACTTACAATACATGTAACTTACAATATATGCAACTTAAAATATATGTAACTTACAATATAATGTAACTTACAATATATGTAACTTACAATATATGTGACTTACAATACATGTAACTTACAATACATGTAACTTAAAATATATGTAACTTACAATATAATGTAACTTACAATATATGTAACTTACAATATATGTGACTTACAATACATGTAACTTACAATATAATGTAACTTACAATATATGCAACTTAAAATATATGTAACTTACAATATATGCAACTTAAAATATATGTAACATACAATACATGTAACTTACAATACATGTAGCTTACAATACATGTAACTTACAATACATGTAACTTAAAATATATGTAACTTACAATATAATGTAACTTACAATATATGTAACTTACAATATATGTAACTTACAATACATGTAACTTACAATATATGTAACTTCATAATATAATGTAACTTAAAATATATGTAACTTACAATGTAATGTAGCTTACAATATAATGTAACTTACAATATATGTAACTTACAATATATGTAACTTACAATACATGTAACTTACAATACATTTAACTTAAAATATATGTAACTTACAATATATGTAACTTACAATACATGTAACTTACAATACATGTAACTTACAATACATGTAACTTACAATATATGTAACTTACAATACATGTAACTTACAATATATGTAACTTACAATACATGTAACTTACAATATATGTAGCTTACAATATAATGTAACTTACAATACATGTAACTTACAATATATGTAACTTACAATACATGTAACTTACAATACATGTAACTTACAGTACATGTAACTTACAATACATGTAACTTACAATACATGTAACTTACAGTACATGTAATGTACAATATATGTAACTTACAATATATGAAACTTACAGTACATGTAATGTACAATATATGTAACTTACAATATATGTAACTTACAATACATGTAATTTACAATACATGTAACTTACAATACATGTAACTTACAATATAATGTAACTTACAATATATGTAACTTACAATATATGTTACTTACAATACATGTAACTTACAATATATGTTACTTACAATACATGTAACTTACAATACATGTAACTTACAATATAATGTAACTTACAATATATGTAACTTACAATACATGTAACTTACAATACATGTAACATACAATATAATGTAACTTACAATACATGTAACTTACAATACATGTAACTTACAATATAATGTAACTTACAATATATGTAACTTACAATACATGTAACTTACAATACATGTAACTTACAATATAATGTAACTTACAATACATGTAACTTACAATACATGTAACTTACAATACATGTAACTTACAATATAATGTAATTTACAATACATGTAACTTACAATACATGTCGCTTACAATATAATGTAACTTACAATACATGTAACTTACAATACATGTAACTTACAATACATGTAACTTACAGTACATGTAATGTACAATATATGTAACTTACAATATATGAAACTTACAGTACATGTAATGTACAATACATGTAACTTACAATACATGTAACTTACAATATATGAAACTTACAGTACATGTAATGTACAATATATGTAACTTACAATATATGTAACTTACAATACATGTAATTTACAATACATGTAACTTACAATACATGTAACTTACAATATATGTAACTTACAATACATGTAACTTACAATACATGTAACTAACAATATATAAAACTTACAATACATGTAACTTACAATACATGTAACTTACAATATATGTAACTTACAATACATATAACTTACAATACATGTAACTTACAATACATGTAACTTACAATACATGTAACTTACAATATAATGTAACTTACAATATATGTTACTTACAATACATGTAACTTACAATACATGTAACTTACAATATAATGTAACTTACAATATATGTAACTTACAATACATGTAACTTACAATACATGTAACTTACAATATAATGTAACTTACAATACATGTAACTTACAATACATGTAACTTACAATACATGTAACTTACAGTACATGTAATGTACAATATATGTAACTTACAATATATGAAACTTACAGTAAATGTAATGTACAATACATGTAACTTACAATACATGTAACTTACAATACATGTAACTTACAATATATGTTACTTACAATACATGTAACTTACAATACATGTAACTTACAATACATGTAACTTACAGTACATGTAATGTACAATATATGTAACTTACAATATATGAAACTTACAGTACATGTAATGTACAATATATGTAACTTAGAATATATGTAACTTACAATACATGTAATTTACAATACATGTAACTTACAATACATGTAACTTACAATATATGTAACTTACAATACATGTAACTTACAATATATGTAACTTACAATACATGTAACTTACAATATATGTAACTTACAATACATGTAACTTACAATATATGTAACTTACAATACATTTAACTTACAATAAATGTAACTTCCAATATAATGTAACTTATTATGTAATGTAACTTACAATACATGTAACTTACAATACATGTAACTTACAATATAATGTAACTTACAATATATGTAACTTACAATACATGTAACTTACAATATATGTAACTTACAATATATATGTAACTTACAATACATGTAACTTACAATATAATGTAACTTACAATACATGTAACTTACAATACATGTAACTTACAATATATATGTAACTTACAATACATGTAACTTACAATATAATGCAACTTACAATATATGTAACTTACAATACATTTAACTTACAATATAATGCAACTTACAATACATGTAACTTACAATATATGCAACTTACAATACATGTAACTTACAATATATGTAACTTACAATATAATGTAACTTACAATATAATGTAACTTATTATGTAATGTAACTTACAATACATGTAACTTACAATATAATGTAACTTACAATACATGTAACTTACAATATAATGTAACTTATTATGTAATGTAACTTACAATACATGTAACTTACAATATATGCAACTTACAATACATGTAACTTACAATATATGTAACTTACAATATATGTAACTTACAATATATATGTAACTTACAATATATATGTAACTTACAATACATGTAACTTACAATACATGTAACTTACAATATAATGTAACTTACAATATATGTAACTTACAATACATGTAACTTACAATATATATGTAACTTACAATATATGTAACTTACAATATATGTAACTTACAATATAATGTAACTTACAATATATGTAACTTATAATATATGTAACTTACAATATATGTAACTTACAATATATGTAACTTACAATATAATGTAACTTACAATATAATGTAACTTACAATATATGTAACTTACAATATATGTAACTTACAATATATATGTAACTTACAATATATATGTAACTTACAATACATGTAACTTACACTATATGTAACTTACAATATATGTAACTTACAATATATGTAACTTACAATATAATGTAACTTATTATGTAATGTAACTTACAATACATGTAACTTACAATACATGTAACTTACAATATAATGTAACTTACAATATATGTAACTTACAATATATGTAACTTACAATATATATGTAACTTACAATATATGTAACTTACAATACATGTAACTTACAATATAATGTAACTTACAATACATGTAACTTACAATATATATGTAACTTACAATACATGTAACTTACAATATATATGTAACTTACAATATATATGTAACTTACAATACATGTAACTTACAATATAATGTAACTTACAATACATTTAACTTACAATACATGTAACTTACAATATATATGTAACTTACAATATATATGTAACTTACAATACATGTAACTTACAATATAATGCAACTTACAATATATATGTAACTTACAATACATGTAACTTACAATATAATGTAACTTACAATACATTTAACTTACAATATAATGTAACTTACAATATAATGTAACTTACAATATATGTAACTTACAATACATGTAACTTACAATATATGTAACTTACAATATATGTAACTTTCAATACATGTAACTTACAATACATGTAACCCCACTGATGTGACAGCCTTGTACAGTACAGTATTTACAATCAACCTAAGCTAACAACAGTGTTTGTTGAGTCCCCAATGCAGCAAAGTATTTTTGTGATATGCCAACATATTCAGTTAACTTATAATCAACCATTATTTTTTCCAATTACTCAATTAATAAAAATCACACACACACACAGGATAAAATTACACTTACATCAATCTTTGGATCTACGCTGACTATGGATGCAGTTCTGATCATCGGAGCTTTATGTCTCGTTTTAGTCGAGATCATATAATTGTATTCATACTGGAAGAGGTCAGTCCTAGGGTCCCAGGGTCGAAGATCTGAGTGTTTGTACACATAAACACCACTCACTGGGTCCTGTCACAGAAGATGGTTCTCAATTATCAGGAAACAAAGAGTATGGCAGCATATCATAAACACATTGTCTTGTTGGTGTCTGTCCTAATATGACCTTTACTTTTGACACAGAGACTAGACTCTGGTGTTCTGTAGTCCATGTAGTGGACAGTACAGTCATATTCATGTGAGACTTTCATCAAAATATTTATAACAATGTAACAATGATGCACCAAGCAAGGAAGAATTTACGGATGCCATGATAACTACAAGACAACATCAACCAGTTGTCATAAGGAGTATAAATGAGGGGCTGATACAGTCTTCATTTTGGACCAACAGTAAAGAAAAAGTCTGGTACAGCAGCTGAACAGTATCTATGGTATCCACATTATCCTGTATAATGACAGCAGGCAGACCAACCCAGAATGGTCATTATCTTTCCACGGTCCACTACACGGATGGAGCTCTGTATTCTGGCAGCTAAGAGTTTTCAGAGCTATAAGAGTTGTACTTTAAGACAGGAACTGTTTTTATACCATGTATTTGGGACACAATGAATGGTGCTTTGTTCAATCCAAACTAGAAATTTATTGAAGTGAATAATAATAATAATAATAATAATAATAATAATAATAATAATAATAATAATAATAATAATGATAATGATAATAATAATAATAATAATGATAATGATAATGATAATGATAATAATAATAATAATAATGATAATGATAATAATAATAATAATAATGATAATGATAATGATAATAATAATAATAATAATAATAATAATAATAATAATAATAATAATAATTACTGTATTGGCGGACTAGCCGATCAGCTGATGTGTACAACAAAACATGTTTGTCGTAAGGATTTCGTTAATCAAAGTTTTGTTCGTTAATTTAACTGAAAATCCTTATGGGAGCTAATTCATTAACCGAAATTTAGTTAATCGAACCGTTCGTTATATGCTGATAACCACAAGGAAAGAAGAAAACACGAAGTTCCCAAGCGCGTTTTACCGTATACGCGGTGCCTTGCCAGAGCTGAACTTTCACTTAACACGGATTTTTTCATCATATACGCGGTGAGTGTCCGGCTCGAGACGCTATTTTTAGATTTGCCCCACGCGCCACCCGCCCGCCTGCCAGCCTGCCTGCGCTCATCTCCTCTCCCTCCTCCTCCCTCCGCTTGGGCAAGCAGCGCGGTAAGGTTGCGCAGTGTGTGTCTTTGTTGCGTTATCACTGATGTCATATGATGTATCGGACTGTAATTGGCCATGCATCCCTACCCCCCTCTGCTGCTAGCTGTAATTGGCTTAGTGTATTATGACGTGACCACCCCGGGGAGGGAGGGAGGAAAGACGATGCTTGACCTAGCCGCGGCAGTTTCATCCCTCAAGGCCACACCGTGTAAACGCGCATCCATTGTTCCGTAAAATGGCTTCGCCGGACCACCACCACCACCAGAGAGAGACCTTTCCTTACCTGGACCCAGCGGCACTAAGCCAAAGAAGACACGACGTTCCTTAAGCTACGAGGTGAAGTACCAAATTGTTCAAGATTTGGAGAAAGGAACACGGCAAGTTGATCTCGCGCGCCAGCATGGCGTCAACGAATCTACGATTCGCACGATCAAGAAGGATGCAGCCAAGATCAAAGAGCACATGAAAATCACAAAGTCTGCAGGTGCTTCATCTATCAGGTATTGCCAGAACAGGGTGCTGGCAAAAGTGGAAAATTTGCTGGTGAGTTATTTGATTCGTCAGGCGCGACGCAACATGGCGGTGGACACGCGCTCAGTGCAGGAGTACGCACGTGAGCTATACGCAACAGTGTCACGTAAGCTGGGAATTGCAGAGCCCAAACCCTTCAATGCTTCCTCTGGTTGGCTGCATAGGTTTAAGAAGAGGAACAAGATCACCAACATCAACATTGGTGGTGAGGAAGCGAGTGCTGACCGTGTGGCAGCTAGAGATTTTCCTCCATTCTTACGTGAGGTTATGGAGGAAGGACAGTACACTGACGACCAGGTGTTTAACATGGACGAATCTGGTCTTTTCTGGAAAAAGCTACCTTCCAAGACCTTCGTTATCCAGTCTGCCAGCAAGGTAAGGGGTCGGAAGTTGCAGAAGGAACGCATCACCGTCCTGTTTACCACCAATGCCTCCGGTACCTGTAAACCAAAGTTATCGGTGATTCACACAGTCCGCAAGCCGCACGCCTACAAGAATATGGACATGAACAAGCTTAATGTCCACTGGCTAACCGCACGTAAGGCGTGGATGTCCTCTTCTCTGTCCCTCTTCTGGTTTGACAGCTGTTTTGTTCCTGACGTGAAGAAATTCTGCGAGCAACAGAATGTTTCATTCAATATTTTGTTGCTCCTTGACAACGCACCTGGACACTCGCCCCTACTTATGGATCGTCGCCCCTACTTATGGATCGTCACCCCAACGTAAAAGTGGTCTTCCTTCCTCCCAACACTACGTCATTAATCCAGCCCATGGACCAGGAGTTGATTTGCAATGTGAAAGCTGCATACTCTGCAAAGAAGTTCAAGCTCCTGAACGACTCTACCAACACCAAGGATGAGTTGCGTAAGCTGGGTGACACCGACAGCGAGAGCAAAAGCGACGAGGACAAGGAACAAGAGGTGGTGACTCAAGAACTTCTCGTCAAACAATTTTGGAAGAAGTTTAACGTTAAACAAGCTGTAGACTTCTTGGTGGAGGCATGGGATCTGCTGACTATTGCTACGATTCGTCACGCATGGAGACATGTGTTGCATGGCATACCAGGTGAGAGGAGGAGTGAACCTGTGACTGGTGAGGTTCAGACTGTTGCAGTAGCAGTGGACCTTGCCAGAGAAGCTGTGCTCAATATTACAGCTGAAGGCTTCTCCGAGACCACCAACTACGACATCCTGGAGGTGATAAGGGATCCTGACGTGACTACCGACGAGATGGTAGATGATGATGACGTCGTCAGTGAAGAGGCTGGTGGTGCGTCATCCCAAGAAGAACGCCGCTTATCCCATAGTAATGTTAGGGGTGCCATCTAGTGTATTGAGAAAGTCAAGCTCCTCCTTTCCAACGACCCTGACGCTAACAGGTATGTAATCTCCACTACCCAGCTGTTGCAGCTATGGAGCCCTACATCAAGGTTTATCACGACAACATAAAACACCAGGCGTCAGCAAAGCATAACAGAGTTCTTCGCCCGCAACCCACCACAGCCAGCCCAAGCCAGTGATAGTGACAGAGGCAGAGACAGTGATGATGACTTTGAGTGATTTGTCAGGGAGGCACTAGTAAGTGTGGATGACACCGATGAAGACTCACCTGAGGGCCAGTAGCCTGCCCTCTGCCTCGGAACCAGCCTCCATTTCCATACGCCGACCCATCTCTACTACTAACGTAAGTGTTAACCCCAACCTTGTTTTTTTCTAACCTAACCTTCAGTTTATTATTCTCTTATTGATTGTTCCCTTCTATATTATGTGTGTGTGAATACCATCATTAAGTTAATATGTTATTTTTAGTAAAACGTACGTATTGTTTCGGGAAAAAGTGGAGTTTGGGGGTCGACCCGGTCTCTATTTCAATTAATAACATACAGTGAGTTCTGCTATAACGCGTGTTTTGACAACGCGAATTTGCTCGAACGCGATTTATGAATTGAGGAACGATATTTGTAAAACGCGAACTCGTTTGCTCTAACGCGATTCCACTCGAACGGTTGTTGTGGCTTCAGTTCACGTTCGACATCACATGTTCAATTGAGTTATGTGTTTTGTTTGTGAACAATTGCAGAAATAATGTATGTAATATTTATGTATACAGTATACCTATATATTATAAGTAAATTGTAAAATTTTACATAAAAGAGAAAATCAAATTACATAGCGTTTTACACCCGCGCTCTCTTTACATCACACACACAGTGTTTACAGTTCACGTTCGACATCACATATTCAATTGATTTATGTGTTTTGTTTGTGAAGAATTGCAGAAATAATTTATGTTATATTTATGTATACAGTAAACCACTCACAAGGTCCTACAGTACCACTAATTATTTTATACTGAAACTTACGTTTGGGAAGCTGGATTAAAATGAAGATTACCGGTATATTAAAATAATAAAAATGTATTATAAACCAGTCTAACATACCGTAATAAACACAGCTGCTATTATCATCCCCCCCACCCCCATTTGCCAGTGACAAGAAAGGGAAAGTGACCTTGACTGTGACCGCCTGTGGCTATTTTTAGCCATCCTTGTGTTCGGAGGTGGTCAGTAATGCATATCTGTATATTTACTGATCATAATACTTATCTCTTATAAATAATTCATTTAAAATTTATTTTTTGCAAAGAATATTCAGTAAATGACTGCATTAATTCTTGAAACTACAACAGTGGTAAATTTAGGATATAAATAATGAACAGAAGTCGCGTCATGGATTCGGAGTTTGGTCCTTAACGATCACCATAAATGTAGCCTCCCTTTTTCGCGAAACACGTATATAAATTAAAGAAAATACTTGCATTATATTTAATATATTACAGTATATTATATATAAATAAATAAACAAATAAATTCAAATTCCCTTATCATCCTGTGTCATATACAGAAATACTTGAGTCCCTGAGCGAGTACACAAAAAGAAAACGGACATCCTGGAGTGGATAGAGAACGGACATCTCTACTGGGGGACTCAAACGTTTCTCATGTTTTGTGGGCGCTCTAGCATAATATGAATAATATGTAAATTACAATTTATATATATATATATATATATATATATATATATATATATATATATATATATATATATATATATATATATATATATATATATATATATATATATATATATATATATATATATATATATATATATATATATATATATATATATATATATATATATATATATATATATATATATATATATATATATATATATATATATATATATATATATATATATCTTGACTCAAAAATCAC